AGTGAGTGAGTGAGGGAGTGTGAGTGAGTGAGGGAGTGTGAGGGAGTGAGTGACTGAGGGAATGATTGACTGAGGGAGTGAGTAACTGAGTGAGGGAGTGACTGAGTGAGTGAGTGAGAAAGTGACTGAGTGAGGAGTGAGTGAGTGAGGGAGTGACTGAGGGAGTGACGGAGTGAGGGAGTGTGTGAGTGAGTGAGTGAGAGAGTGAGTGAGAGACTGTGAGTGACTGAGGGAGTGATTGAGTGACTGAGGGAGTGAGTGAGTGAGTAAGTGACTGAGTGAGGAGTGAGTGAGTGAGGGACTGAGGGAGTGACGGAGTGAGGGAGTGTGTGAGTGAGTGAGTGAGAGAGTGAGTGAGAGACTGAGTGAGGGAGTGAGTGTGCGTGAGAGTGTGCGTGAGAGTGAGTGAGTGTGTGAGTGAGTGATTGATGGAGTGAGTGGTTGAGTGAGTGAAGGAGGGACTGAGTGAGGGAGTGAGTGAGAATGACTGAGTGAGGGAGGGAGGGAGTGAGTGAGGGAGTGAGTGTGAATGAGTGAGTGAGTGAGACAGTGAGTGAGTGAGGGAGTGTGAGTGAGTGAGAGTGTGTGTGTGAGGTAGTGAGTGAGTGAGAGTGTGTGTGAGGTAGTGAGTGAGGGAGTGAGGGAGTGAGTGAGGGAATGAGTGGGTGAGCGACTGAGTGAGTGAGGGAGTGAGTGAGCGATTGAGGGAGTGTGTGAGGGAGTGAGCGAGGGAGTGAATGTGTAAGTGAGGGAGTGAGTGAGCGAGTGAGTGAGGGAGCGAGCGAGTGAGCGAGTGAGTGAGTGAGGGAGGGAGTGAGTGAGTGAGGGAGTGAGTGAGAGAGTAAGAGACTGAGTGAGTGAGGGAGTTAGTGAGTGAGTGAGTGTGCGTGTGAGTGTGTGAGGGAATGAGTGAGTGAGTGATTAAGGGAGTGAGTGAGTGAGTGAGACAGTGAGTGAGTGAGGGAGTGTGTGAGTGAGGGAGTGTGAGGGAGTGAGTGAGTGAGTGTCTGAGGGAGAGTGACTGAGGGAGTGATTGGGTGACTGAGGGAGTGAGTAACTGAGTGAGGGAGTGAGTGAGGGAGTGACTGAGTGAGGAGTGAGTGAGTGAGGGA